AGAAGGCTTAGTTCGACAAGTAAAAAAAGCAACTAGAACTTCTGAAGTAGAACTTGCTGGAGAAAATGCTCTAGAGAGGTATGATGGTGGAGCATATTCTCAAGTTTTGGCAACAAGCAGGTCAGATTCTGGAAATGCATTGAGCGCATTTACATTCCTAAGAATGAACAAACGCTTGTTTGAGCCAGAAAATTGGCAGAATTTAGGGCAATTCGTGAAAAGCATGTCAGAAGGAGGCCGAAATGCTAGACGTCCAGAGTGTGACTCAAGCAGGGCAGACCTCTATGTAGGATTTATCAAAAAGACTCATTCTATGAAAGTTCAAGAGATAGCACTAGTGTAAAGATATGTATATGTATAGAGGTAATATGGTCATCCCATTGTAGGTTAGCAGAGAACAGTGGCAAAAAGTATTAAAGTGCCATTACTCATAGCACCTAAAAGAGTCCACAAGAATTTGAGCCTGTGTCTGAAACTAAACTATAGACGACAAGAAAAAGAAGCTTCGTCTGTCAATCTTCCCCATTCTGGTTCAGAGGTTGTGAAGCTCCGGGGCATTGGGATGATGAGACAGCATCATACAAGGATTTGAATGAGCATATTCTTTTCTTTGTACAAATCAATAATTTTCTGCCTTCCACGTTTATTATTGTAATAAAGGAGCTAATAATATTGCTTCCTATACATGCATTTTCCTGTTAATATTTCTGCTTTCTTCCTTCGAGGTATCAATTATCAGCGAGCAACTTACTTGAGTGTCTGATAAACATATCACTAGTTCAATTTTCAAGCAGAGAAGATCACCACTACCCCAATCCTTTGCAGATAATCATTTAACAGAACAATCCATGCATGCTGAAAGATTACAAACATATCAGCAATATGGTGAAAAGTCAGGCTTCAGAGCCCTCACAAAATTACTTTTGACCTCTTAGCAATATATATTTAGCCATGTTTATGAATATTTGAAAAGATTATTGAACAAAGTCCACCCATTAATGATATTTGTCAGCACTTATGTTGTCTTCTCAGCCGTTAAAGAAAATTTAAAGATCATGAGAGTTTTTGTAACAAAGGAAAAGAAACAGGTACTGTACAAAAAAATTCACAACTGACAGCAATATCGACTTGCCTTATACATGGTGTACAGCCTATGTACTTCATGTTGGGATAAAATAAATAATCCCGCCCAGGAATAATATCCACAGCAAATAATAATAACACA